GTTTTATTGTAAATCAAGAGGTGTGTTTTAGTTGTTTTGGTTGGTTTTATTGTAAATCAAGAGGTGTGACTTAGTTGTTTTGGTTGGTTTTATTGTAAATCAAGAGGTGTGACTTAGTTGTTTTGGTTGGTTTTATTGTAAATCAAGAGGTGTGACTTAGTTTTTTTGGTTGGTTTCATTGTAAATCATGAGGTGTGACTTAGTTGTTTTGGTTGGTTTCATTGTAAATCAAGAGGTGTGACTTAGTTGCTTTGGTTGGTTGTATTGTAAATCAAGAGGTGTGACTTAGTTGTTTTGGTTGGTTTTATTGTAAATCAAGAGGTGTGACTTAGTTGTTTTGGTTGGTTTTATTGTAAATCAAGAGGTGTGACTTAGTTTTTTTGGTTGGTTTTATTGTAAATCAAGAGGTGTGACTTAGTTGTTTGCCCCAGTCCAAGTCTGAAATTGACCTTTGCCCTCCCAGCAACAGGCATGTTGACAAGTCCTCCAGTTGAAGGAATGGCGAGGAAACGACCTTAGTTTTTCAAGAAACCTTGGGAATGGTGAGTTCTGAAGGGTTCGTTGATTGTGCATGATTGTGCCATCATGTTCTGTGCTGTTGATGACTAATTTTCTTTGAGTTGCCCAAGTCAATATTTTGATCGAACATCACAAATCACCCAGCTGGCCTGAGCTATTGAAGGAAGAAACCCTTATATGATGCTCCCAGTTCAATTCAATTGGGTACTACTTGTGAGGAGACCGACCCCGAATCACAAAAATGTGTTGCTTTGTTTGGCCGAGAGTCCACAAACTTATCCATCGTGAATGCATTTGTCTAAAGGAAAAGTCTTTGTTGCCAACAACGCAAAACACTTCTGTGCACTTGTCAAACCCACACGGGGACAAAAAATCATAAGAAGTCACGTGCAGTGGATCTTAAAAATCAATGTTTAGCATGTTCTATGCGGAGTCAGATTGGCAACGTTTATTACAGCTGTTACAGGCTGTTACAGCAAATGTCACATTGCCTATTTCAAGTCCCACTTTCTGGGGTGCTCTCTTCATGTTGTGTTTCAGTGTGTGTTAATTTGTTAATGGCCTGTTTGCCGACCTGAGGAACCACCACCTCCAACGCGATGAATCTTGAGATCCAAAACAGACAACATGTTGCTTCCGGATGCTCACGATTGCAGGCTCACCTTCGATCGATCCGACGGGACCGTTTTTTTTCTTGCTACAAAGGCCGTGCCCACGTGGTGCCCATGGGGTGGTTTTCTGAGGTTGACGTGTTCATGGCTATGTCAGTTAGCAGGAACAAGGGAATTTAGGGAAACGAGATGTTGTCTTGTGACAGATACTATGTGCCAAATTGAGTTCTTTGACATCCTCAAGCCAGGGATCTATTTTCGGCAGATGTTTCAGGCCACATGTGTTGAATGATGCGTTTGGCAAGCTAGATTATGCCTGGATCTCCTGAAATTCTTTGAGACGCACTCCTGTTGTAGCAAATCTCCAGAGGTGGGTGGGGTGATTCCAGAGCAACCTCCGCCGCGGAGAGTTGCGGCATTGCTACTAAGCCTTGCAGGGCCGTATACAGTCCGGACTGGATGGCCAGACTGTGACGTTAATGCTCCTATTCTTCCCAGTCTCCGGGAAGGTGCTATGTCATACCAGCAAAACCAGTGAAGAGATTTGGTAGCTGTGATCCATGGGACCTCATTCTGAAACAAGCGTTCCAGATGCAAGTGTTCCTGCGCCTGCGCCTTGGAAGATGACTATGCGCCTGCGCCTTTGAGCTCCACCTCTTGGACTTTTGACCAATTCTTGCGTGGTGAAAACGTTCTTCTGGCCTGTAACAGCAGTACATACCACATTCACAAACTCTTCTTGGTGCTGTTCTTCACATCTAATGCATGGAAATTGCTCTGAGATGACCGGGCTCTCTCATGGCCAGAGCGACTGGTGAACAGCATTGATCTCTCTCTTCGCGGAAGCGCCGGGCGTTGTCTACCAGGCCATCCCAGTCTGTGGCCATTCCGGCCCATGGCTGTCCGTCGTTTTCACGGAACATGGCCGTCATCGTCCTCCAACGGACGTTCGCTGCTTCACCTGTCTAATGGAACAATGACGTTCGTGCACCGGGGCAAAGCGGTGTAAGTCGGCAGACCGTCCGACCGTCCCGGTGGGTTTTCCGTCGACTACTTCGACGGCGAGTCGAAGAGCCGACTTTTGGGGCACAAAATTCTTAGCCAAGACTCACCGAAGTCAAAGTCACCTGTATCGATGGGCCGCGGGCACTCCATGTACGTTGGGGTGGTTTCAGGGGTCAATGTAGTATATACATGAGTGTCTGGGAGTGGGCCGAACTTTCAATGTTTTGTTCATGCAACTGTAAATGTTTGCAGCAAGGCGTTGTTGCATGCGCAGGGCGCCCTTTGGTAGCTCCTAGATGGCCAGATGTGAGTTCCACCAAGGGAAGTCCACAAAGTCACCAAAGAATCCATGATGTGTCGTCGTTATATACGATATTTCTCAACGTTTCTTAACCTCTCTTTCTAGGCGTGAGAACGGGTCATTCGTTGCAACTGGTTGAGGTCTTGGCCCTTCAGTCAGGTTGGACGCGCCCAGACCGCCTAGACGGGTCTCGAGACCATCCCCGGTTCCATATGCAACACCCATTTTTGGGTGTGTATTAAAAATAGGGAGACCTCTCAAAGACCCCCTGGAAGAAGGGAAAAAGACCAAAAAACAATTCGTTGGATGTTTTCCTACTAAAATACACACGCATTTCGTTGAACTGGGGGATGTATGCACCTGCCGTCGCTGCAGTTTGCCTGTCAGGATTGGCGGAAGGCCACGGCCAAGATGGTCTCCAAGCCAGCCTTTGAGCCTAAACTGCATGCAGCAGCAGAAAGTTCAGCATTCTATTTCATGCATCAAACCAGAGATTCGAAAGTGGAGAGTAGGCAATGCACGGCGATGCTAGCATATACTTGCTCAAATCACCGGGGGATTCAGACGGAAGCTCTGGGGAACTGGAGGCCGAAGGTGTGTGCGCCAAACTATTCATATAACAAGGTCATTCAATAGGTAATTTACATTAACTTACACATTTACTAGGAGACCAACAACAGTTGTTTTCAATCCCAAAAGTTGAATTATAGGCATAGCCGTGGCATACCTTTGCTTGCCAACAAGCATAGCTTCGGGTCTGTTGGTCGTTGCGAATCATGGTTTGGTTTAATGAGACCTTCATCCCGAACCTGACATTGGCAAAGGGTGGGGCTCCTACTAAGCGGACCTCGTTTGGAACCGGGAGGAGATCATCAGCTGAGCATCACCCATCAGGGGGATGAAGGGCCTGCTGGAACTCATATGAGATAACATGGAATAGCTCTTGAACGGATCGAGATGATCGTACAAATGAAGCTGCTGAGCCAGGCATGGTTTGATTGCGTTTGCTACACACTTCTCTGGGTTTGTTTGAGGACTGTCAAAACTCACGCGTTCCCCACCGCCCTACTGTTGAAAGTGAGAAGTGCGGGTTGAATGGGGGAGCAGAAGCGCGGCATCTATAGAAGTTGATTATCAAGAGCTTGAATGGAGACCACGTTGTCGACCCCAAGCTGACAGAACAGTCCCACATAACAGTCCCTTTATAAGGGGAACAAAAGTGGTCTTACAAATCCGAATGGACCTGGGGGGGTTCATTTGGTTCTGTTGTTGAAAGCCGTTTTCATCCATTACTGTCAAGCAGCACTGTGCCTGGGATATGCCAAATCGTCCACCCTTTAGAAACGGTTGTCAGGCTGATATCCATTGGTGTGCCGGGAGTTGAGTATGAGTCGTCAGGACCTTTGTTTCCTCTTCCTCATCATCGCAAACTCCATCTATTTGGGTGTCTCAGCTGCGAATTTGCACCTGGTCCTGTTTCTGTTGTGGTGGGGGGCCCGGTGGGGGTACACGGGGATGGCTTGGAAGGGGCTGCATGGGGGTACACGGGGATCCGTGGACAGAACTGTGAAGGCTTCGAGACGTGTTTCGTGTCCAAATTGGTGCAAAGAACCCCTCGGCTTGGTCAACCGGAGCGGTGGCCATGCAGTCCAGAAGTTGATGGCACACCAGGCCAGAAGCTTACATTTCCGGATATTTGGTGACCTCTGGATACCTATGCATGGCTGATCTGCATTTCCAGTTCAGTTCATGTCGGTCGAATGAAAATGCTTTCTTAACACTGAAGTTTCACTGAAACGGTGTCCTCGAAACGCCTCTTTTTAGGCCCTGATTTCGAGGACATGGAAGTGGAAAATGGTCCCTTGGAAGATGATGTTCCTTTACGAAACAGGGTCGCAGGGTAACTGTCCCCTGTCCGGCCTGTTGATCGCCAAGGGGTCCAGTTGGAGTGGGTGGCCATTACTCGAGACTACAGCTGCTGGGCGATGAGTCCAGCCGGGCGTTCCGAACCACCAATGGCACAGCCTTAAGCTGCCAAACGATGTCGCTGGTTGAAACGACGTTCTTAGGGTCTACGACGGTTGCTGGATTGAGGTCGGTTTCAACGGTTTCACCGGAAAAACAAGTTTCACCGGAACACTGTTACAGCTCTTGACTTAACAAGAGTCTTTCATCCATCATTTCAGGTTCGTTTTTCTTAGAAAACGATACGGGCTGTGAAGCAGCAATATGGATCAATATAGTGCTTGCATGTGCATCCGTTGTGCTTTTTGCATTGTGCACATGTGAGAAGTAGTAACTTTGGACCTGGGTTTTGAGAAATCACTGCATCACCAAATAGCCTTGTTTCTGATGAAACTAAAGTTCTACTCTTGTGGCCTCGTCACCAGTGGTAGCACTGTGTGCAGCACATTGTCCGGCATGTCAGCTCATTTGAGCAACCGCCAAAACGTGCAGCGACTAGTAAAGGGCGGTCGTGAATTTCAGGAATTTGGTCAAAACCTGCAAAAGCGATAGGCCCCCCTCAAAAGCAATAGCTTTACATAATAAATAATGTCCTCGTCCTCTACTTGACAATACGTTTTGGCAGGCGCTCATTTGGTGCTGTAAACCGCCCTGAGAAGACTTTGCCACCTGACGACCAGGTGCTGAAGTGTGTAAACACTGAAAGGAAGCTACTGTACCTTCTTTATAATGAATGCACTCTCTCAAAAAAGAAAATGATCGTGGCTCATATCTTGGGTTCCATATTATCATCGGTTCCGGATAATTTACTGGAAGTTTCTTTGGGTGCAGGAGCTGACAATTATATAGATACTCATTCCAGAAACTACGTAAATGCTTCCACCAACACTACCCACTTTGGATGGTTTTTGGATGGTAACCCTTTGAGTGGTGCTGGCCGATGATTCTCCTCTCCGTCGACTGCGTGAGCTCGATCCTCACCTCATCTAATTAGTTCAGTTTTACCCAGGTAATCCCTTCCGAAGGAAGTGCCTCCTCAGATGGCATTTGGACCCTCCAAAACCATCCTGAACTTGACTTCATTGACTGCTTTGGATCATTATCCTCTTCGTTTGTCTTCCCAGAGATACCCTTCGGTTGCAAAACGAGGTCGCGAGGAGCTTTGGACGGCGATCAGTGCCAGCTTTGCGGTTTCCCGGCGAGATGGGACGGCGGTTCCCGAAGGGGGACAGTTACTAAGAGAAGTAGGAAGTTGGTCTATCTAATGATCATCAATTTAGTAGGGATTCCTGTCCTGAAGCTCAACCCAAGGTACAGTACCTCGAGGCTCAATCATGTTGCACATTAATTCTATAGACAGCTGATGAACCAGGGTTCTTGCGAATGGTTTTGTGGTTTGGTCTTTCCAAGGTGCCCTTGCCGGATCATCATATACTAGTTATATTCACCTGTATACATCCGTTGTATACGTATGTATAGTATACTGCATAATAAGCCTTTGTGGCTTTGCTGGGAGGGATCCTCAGACATACTGATCCACTTTTGGATCACCCTGAAACAGCCAGTGTCACTCACAGTGTCACTCTTGGAGCTGGACACAAAGATCACAAAGACTTCTATACTGGGCGTGCACATGGTGTCGTATGGCTCATTGGTTTCCACAGCTCGATTGCTGGGTGGTTCCCAAAGACATTGTTTATTTTTCATGAATTTGATCATATAGTTACTTGCTTTGTCACTGGATTATATATATATTATATATATATTTATGTTTTCTTGTTTGCAGGTAACTAGGAACCTCAAATGGCTTAGTGGTTTGCCCCAATTGGCTTGTACGGTATCCTTCAACCTGGCGTTGCCAATCTCACTTCACCAGAGTACCGATTCATCATATGCCTCACCTTGGATCAACAGCAGATCGGATAGTATAGGCTTTTTTGAGACTTCATGTCTTTGGATGTTTACTCCTTTTTTGCTAAATTATTGGCAGGAATACATTTGATATCATTTGATTGAAAGAACCTATAGCTAGCTACTATGGTTTAAAGCAGGATATGTTGGACAACGAAGAGCATGCTGCGCATCCAGTCGCTGCTCGGTCCAACCACTCTCACCTGCCCAAGCCAAGCACAAACGTTTGGTTGAACGCACGAACTCCGCAACTGAGGTCAAGGTCTAAGTTTGCTTTGCTCCCTCCACAAAAAGCACACAATCGCACTCACACCTTCTGAAGTAAAGAGCCCTGCAATGACAAACCTACGACCGAGCGCGCCCTGCGGGCGCGCAGAGGCACGCTGTTGTGTGGGGCGCGGCTCTCGGGCCGAGGGGATTTTCACCGTGGAGATCTTCGTTCGGCTCTTTGCCTTTGGCCCGCGCAGCTGCTTGACATGTCTCCACTGTTCACTGGGACTTCCCCGAACCAAATGCCATCAAGGGGCTCTTATGCGGCACCCCACACCAGGGACCCTGGTAAGGGGCCAGGGGTTTGGAGTCGAAACTGGTCTTGTCGCCGTCTTGCCAGGCGTTGATACGCTGTATAGAAGGAACGAAGCAAGTGAGACGAACTTACGCAGGGCTTTGCGAACAGAGGAAACTGAGGAAACCATATTCCGAATCGAAGGCCCCCTTGCAGTGAAGTCACCTGAGATGAAAACAGCCAGATTGGCTTGGAGCATGCTAGCTGTGACCACGACAACCCCCACATGGCCGGTTGAGTGGGGATTATGAGCACAAGGGATTTTCTACCAGGTTTTAGCCCTTTTGCTCCGGTGATAGAGACTGCTGTGAGATGTTGTGAGTTTCTCTTGTGGCCCTTCCAATCTCTTTTGTGGCCCAAGCGAGCGGCTTTGGGGGGCCGACCGGGTACACAAAAAAAGCGCCGACCGGCTGTGAAATCTCAAAGCCGTGCGGACAAAGCTGCTGTTTCCTGTGTTGCAATAGGATTCATGTATGTGTGTTTCCTTTAATTTGTTGCTCCTGTTACCTGTCTAAGAGGCAAATCAAGAGTGGAAGAAGCAAGTTGTGGTCAGGAACTGATTGGAACATGTTTGAAATGAGTCACAGAGTCATGTTTGTTTCAGCTATCAGTCCTTTTTCTCCCAACATTCAATCTCAGACAGGTTTGAGTCATCGCCTTGTCCAAGGCTACTTCTGTGGCCGGGGATGTCTTTGGAGTTGGATAGATGTGGTGGTTGTGACGTCGGCATGGATCGAAATCGCGATTCAGATGGTCAATCGAAACGACTCCTGGCGGACGTCGTGACGTCGGTGTCACTGAAGACCTGGCTGCTGTGTTTTTTTGTATCACAGGTGTTTTGAACAGTGGACATGCCCCCTGCTGAAGAAGCATGAAGAAGACAAAACCTGACTTGGGGATCCAAGGCGGCAAACTCACTGGGAGATTTGGCCAGAGAATTTTCCAACTTGCCAAGAGTGGAGCGGTAAAAACTGAAAAAGAGTTTGACCGGTGCATTGGCTGGGGAGATCAACCAACATCAACATCATGTTGCTGCACAGTATTTGCGTGCAAACTAAAGGTGTTCGACTTCCGTGTGTTCAACACAGCGTGCTCTCTCATGTCCTCCCCAAATCAACCTTAAACTTTCAATCTGCATCGAAGCTTTACTTCCACCGTGTTCCACCATGTGGTACTTAGACTTGTAGCTGTAATTGTTGCTCTGTGTCCTGTCTCGTCTATAAACTATTCCAGCGGTTTGCCCGGTAGATGCTGTTTGATGCACCAGCAGCATCTTCCAACATCATGTCTTTTTCGCTCAGGACAGTGAGGGTTCGAGCAGCAACGTGCGCAGCTCGGCTGGTTTAGGCATCTGCCAACTCAACTCAGAGGAGAAGTGGAACTGCTTTAGGATAGTGACAGTGATGAGTGATGAGTGATGGAGACGGTGGTACATGAACTCATGGAAGACTCCCCAGCTCATCCCAGAGATGGCCAGGTCATTCTCCGGTGAAACAGCGCCTGTCAAGGACGACCAAAGAACAGATATGTTGGGTTCTTTTGGTTCAAGATGGCCGCCCTGTTTGGGCCGCAGTCATGCTGACTTTTTGTGTAATATATATATATTATATATAGGCCAGGTTCAAGTTGGCACAACTACTGACAACTGATACGAATGAATTTGGAGGACTTTCAATACCAACTCCTCCACTCTGAAATGCGGTTGTTCCCAAGTCCAGGGCAGGTCAATTCGGGTCAAACTACACCTGGATTCAACATTCAAGGAGCCCCCTTTTTCATGGAGCTAAGGAGCTATGCAGGATGATGTCGATGATGTTGCAATTAGTGCCTTCCCAGGTTTCATGCTTATTTCTTGTTAATACTGACCCAAACCATCCGGGCCCACATGAGAGCCCCCAAAAACGCATCGCGCCTCCCAAAACGCCTGACGCGTGGTCCCCACGCGCTTTCTCGTGGACGCTGTGGCCGACTGGCCGACGCGCGGCCGGGCTTTGCGCGGCCTCGGCGTCCAAGGCATCGTGAGGCTGTTTCGGATCGGGAAGCTGCTGCAGTCCGTGCGCTCCTTCCGGATCCTGAAGTTCTTAGGGGCCCTGCGTATCTTGGTGTTGCTCGGACGCCTGGAGGGAGGTGTTGGACTGGATGGTCTATTCGTGACTAGTCGTGACCAATGGTCAATGGTGAAAAGCTATTCGGAGTTGGGACAAATGAAGGGAAGGGGGCTGGTGTAGGCAAGCGCTTGGTGTTCTGCACGCAAGAGGTGTTGGACCAAATAAAACATGTTTCTGACTCCTGACAGTAAGGATCAGTAGGAACTACACCTCTATAGAGATCTTCTACCTTCAGGTGTGGAACCTTATCGCTTCAAGCGTAGCTTAGTCTATCGATGACTGTTGGACTGTTGGAAGCTTTGGGCAAGTGCAGCACGTCTTTATTTTCAGCTTGTACCTTTCGAAGAGATCGAAGAAATAGCCAGGTCAACTCAAGTCTCATCGAATTCGGTGTCACACTACCTTGCCCCGAATGAGTGCAGAGCGCTCTTTCCATTGTTTATGTACCAGGCTTTCATCCCTTACTCACCAGACAGGTCCTGTTACTCACCAGTGCATTCCACGTTTCTGAGACCGTACCAGGCATGTCCCATTTTCATCAGCGGATAATTTGTACATGTTTGATCATGTTTGTACAGGACCTAATTCATGATCTAGTTCAGTTCTCCCTAGACCGGACCTAACGTATTTTCAACCCTTGTTTGTGGAATATGGTCAAATATGGTCACCATGAATTCCTGTTCCCAAAGCACCCACTAGAAGGTTTGCAGGTTTTCATATTAAAAGCTTACAGTTGGGGTTTTGCTATGTTGCGAACTGTAGGGAAGCCCGGCTGAATTCCTGTTGAAGCTCCATTGGAGAAAGAAACACAGCTTAGTGCACGACTTTACCTTGGACTTAGTGACCTGAAGACCGAGACAAAGCTTAGTTCAGCCTAGGTTCTCCATCATGGATGCTGCCCGATCACTGTTCTGGGCATTGGTCTTGTTGACGCTCAACTTGCGTTCGACCGGCTGAAAACCAGTGGACCAAGCAACGCATATCAGTGGCCAACTCGGACTTGCCAAATGTTTCACCCGCCAAATCAGTCACGAGGCCTTCCATCCATGTCGTGCATGACGGCTTTGGGTCAATGTGGCACTCTGTCCGTTTTACTCCTTACAGCAGAAACAGCAAGTGCTGCTTGAAGTCTTGTCCAGTAGCATTCGACGCTACTATGGGCTCCTGGCCTTACTACTAGGAGCAAAGACGCTTCTAGGGGCTCCTGGCCTTACTACTAGGAACAAGAAGCTACTAGGAACAATTGATCCCACCCTCCGAAGACTGTAGAATGTGAAGGGGTTTTGATTGCTCACGTTTCTCGCTTTCGTCCATGGGATCGTGCGGTGTTGCTCCGAGAGATAGATCGACAGCGACAGTTGCCGGGGCCCAACAGTGACATGTGGCACAATGGGCCCACTGTATGTACTACATAAGATTGGAGACCCCAAACCCAAAGACCGTTTGGTAGAAGGTAACCTACGGGCCGTACGGGTAGAACACAATGCTTTGGGAGTTCATGCGAGGGGCTTGAAAGGACACCGAAATTGGAATGGCCTCCAACCTCATAGCGATGGCCTCCAATCTAATAGCGATGGCGATGGCCTCCAAGTAAGGGACACCAAAATAGCTGTACTTGTATAGTTGCAGAGGCAACGACCAAGTCTTATCTCTAGTCCACGACTCCCAAGCCGCTGTCGTGATGAGGATCATCGCATTCTACATTTTTGGCCTGCTCCTACTCTTGAAAGGGTACAGTAACACTTTTACTCTTGCTTGGAGTCGGTCTTTTGGGTGGAGTGTTTCCAGTTTTGCAGCCAACTTACCTTCAATTAGACTTGCCTGTCTTGGGTGTGTTCCTCGCTGGGAGGTGCGATGTTTGAAGTGGTGGCTCGGAACGTGGAGGAAAGTGGTCCAAGACGCCCTACGATCCATTCCATGATTTTGACAGAACTAGTTGCCATTTATTTTCTAATCGGGTAGTTTCAATCATTCCCAACGAAGATCTATTTCTTATATTCTTCAGTTGGGTTGCAACGACCAACCACTAATGCTTGAGGCTCTTCACGGATGCTGTGCTGCTCCACTTGCAATCGCTCCCGAACTGCTGTGATGGCGATGATTGCCTTTGCAAGTACTTCGGATCCGACACCCAGCTAAAGCATGTGTCTTCTTCCATACTGGTGTGCAGGGGTGCCTTTGGAAGTACCCACCCACAGATTTGCACTGGGTTTTGCGCTTTCAGCATGCCCTTTCAGCCAACCACCGGCTTTGCGTCCCAGAACATGTTGTGCTTCTCTTAGCTGCGCTCTCCCGGACCCTCCCGGACCGAGTTCGTGAGCAGAGTCGATTTCCGGTGAGAGTGAGTCGAGTTCGCCACTCATGACATATGCGAGGAGTGTGAGCGTCGACATGAGGGCCTGTCGAGTGTGAGCGTCCGCAAAACTCGCTTTTTTGGGGTTAGGGGGCTTGTGATTATGGGCAAATGACACACAAACCCCTCTTGATTATGGATCTTGCCACCCTCTTGAAGTGATTCTGCTAAGGTGTGTGACCAGCGCCAAATGCTCCAACTCCGTGTTATGTTTTTTTTCAGAGTGATAAACTATTTTTGGAGGTAAACCAAGCACATTGCAGATTTGTTGTATAGTTTTTGTTGTATGGTTTTGGCTCCTTCAAAAGACCGTGCCGCGACCACCACAGGTGGCCGAGTTATTGTTCCTCGCGTTCTCGGCCCTGTTTTTGCGGCCAAGTCGGGCCTGGTGTTCTCCAGAGGTTTGGGCCGTGCGGGTGTGAACGGCCCGAAGCGAGGTGTCCAAGTCAATGACAACGCTCTTCCGTTCCATTCTGGGTGGCCTCTTGGGCAGCAGGATAGAGAGGAGAATGGTGAGAAGGTTAATGAATTTGATTGATTTTCATTGCATTGAATTTGTGATCATTTGTATACTGTATATGAGTTATATGTCAATACGTTTATGCCTGCCGAGAACGAGACCTGAATTGAAGGCTGTCATGAATAGAAACATCACACACACAGACTGACGATTTTTTTTCGTCGCTCATTTGTTGGTCCGGTTGCCAATACACCCGCTCAGGTTTGGACTGGCAAGTACCAGCTGATTTACTCGTAGATGCTTGCAGATGTTATTGGTCCGGAAGGGTGATTTGTGTTCGGCTTTGAGCCCCTCACATTCCTCCTACCTGTGAAAACAGCAGAGGCCTTCATGAGCGGTTCTCAGGCGGTTTTTGTGTTTGTCACGGATTCCAAGTTGTTGCGCTTGCCTTTCATTCTCTCTTTTCTGATCTTTAAGAGTGACCTTCAAGATTCCAGTTTTGGAACACTCCGCATGAGCAAGAGTCCAGCCCAGCATAGTTGTCGACCGGGATATACCGGGATAGTCTCATCAATCACCGGGATCAATTAAAGACACGTTTGCAAACAGGGATTTAGTCCACAGGTGTTGGTCGGTGCTTTGTACCTGTTAGGTTCACTCTGTTGACTTTGATGTGTCAACCATGCCTAGAGGGCATCACGGGTGACACTTGTCGCGACGCGACATGGGATGCAAAGCTGGTCAGTTGAACGTTGGACCTTTGACCACCGACAACGTGGGTCAAGTATTCAAGTTGATTCCCAGGTTGGCAGACTCCCAATTTCTCACCACCCGCCCAAAGACATGCTTGGACCCTGAGACCGGCTTTGAGATCGTACCAATCTTGGCACCTTTGGTCTCCTTCGATCAAAGAAAACACGTCACAAGCACACCTTCGGCCAAGGGAAAGCGAATGAAAGAGTTGCAGAAGATGAGAGTTTACCACAGAATTTTTTTGTAGCCAGAAACGATCAGAAACCCTCTCAAGTGGTTTCTCCACTATACATGGGCGCAGACTGCGTGGACTGCTCTGGGGGTTGGACTGATGTGAAGGATCAGACCCGGCGAAGTGGACTGGGCAGTGAAAAGCCGTGAGTATCGGTGATGGAGTGATGGACACTCACAGTGGGTGCCATCAGACGGCAAGAACTTCCTGAGACCCTCAAAACCGCCTTTCAGGGAAACAGAATTTATACTGTAAAGAAGACATGGGATATTGCCGTATTGCAGGGGTCACTTGGTTGGGGGCCACACTCTCCCAACTTGAGCCAAGCCACCCTTCGACTCGTCGTAAGCCCTCAGGAGGTGGGGGAGGGTTGGATGCAGCTCTTTCATGTCTTCATCGGCATGGCAATGCTGGCTCTTTTGAATGTTATGATTGCGGTTTTCTGCAACAGACACTTTGAAGCACAAGGTCATGGTGTGGGGGATGGACAAGGTCATCAGTCAAAATATACTGGAGTGGCAGATTCTGCCTTTCGGGTTGATGCCGACAGATGCAAAACATATTCCTCCCATAGATCACAAAGCTGAATTACTGCAGCCTTTGGGGAGAAACTTTTCCAGACATCAAGGCTTTCCCTCCCGCCAACCATAATTTCTAGTGGAACTTGGCCCGTGGAAAGACTTTTTTTCCTCTAGAAAGAGGGGATGGTCCACTTAGATTGTTGGTTGGTGGGAGGTGTTTGTGCCATGATTCAGATCCACAAAGGTCAAAGCACCGTCTACCTTTGGCATCACACCAGGTAGGGTCCCACTCCTTCATTGAACGGTCGGGAAGGCTGGATTGATCGTGATCAATGAAGGCTGGCAGTTGCGATCCACTTAGTTGTGATGGCAATGCTTTTGACACCCATAAATTATCAAATGTACTTTGTAGGCACTCCACTTAGGTGCTTTTCAAACACAAAGTGTGATCCCTTCAATGTTTAGGGGGTTGTGGTTTGTTTACGTTGCAACTTCACAGCCAGATAGTTCATTGCAAAGAATGACCGCAGCAGGTTGAGAATTAATCATAACACAACCAAATGACAATCCCTTTAGGACTTTGTTTGTTGTTTCTGGCATGATATGCAAGCGCTGTTTGCAAACCTCTCTAGCAAAAGTTTGTTTGAGGAAAGGTGGCACAACTGTTCTCCATATGATCGCTTTGCAGCTTCCAAGACATTTCAGAAAATTCCAACCTCGAATATTGATATGGCAGGGTGAGTGCATTTGACATCACCCATCTATCCACCCGTCTATCCACCGCATTCTTCTGCAGGAACCTCCCCTGCCATTGCTAAGGTACCATCCGTGCAGCCGATCTGAACCACGAGGCGCCGCCGTTTTCCGGAAAACCAGAACGACAGGGGTCCATTTTGGAGAAATCCTTTGAAGGGTTGCATTAGACGAAGATTCTCAACTATATATTATGTGTCATATGTTTGGGGGTCGACCTTGCCCTATGCAGATGTTGGACGGAACGTTTGCTTCTGTGGATTGAGCAAAGAATCAATGGATGATGGCATCTTCGCCTTGCAAGCCGTGTTCGCTACATGGGCACCCGGGCACGATCACGACATGGAGCGAATCATTTGCACCAGGCCTCACGAGGTGTGGATTGGATATGCCGGTGCCAAGAAGCTGCGCCCAAACAGGTCATGATGGAGAATCGGACCTCTTTGCGTGCCAAGGCCGCGAAGCTTTTCCGACGCAGCTGGTCTTGAAGGTGCGGGATTTGTTTCGTTCAGAAGTCTAAGATCAGTGGATCTCCCAGAAGTCTCCAGAGCCTGGCCATGTTGAGCAAATGAATGTCTTCCAACACATCCATGAATGCATTGTTCTTTTTTGCCCGCAGCTGATACGCCGCCCTTGCGCCTGTCATGTACGTTGCGTTCCGGTTGCTTCGAAGATTATGTCATATGCACACACGCTTTGGAAGATAGGGGTGGGGTGGGTGGGTGTGGGTGGGGGGCTAATGACGAGTTTTCAATCAAAATTAAAAGTAAGATGCGGGGCCGCTGGGTCACTGCAGGTACCCAGCAACTTGACAGCTGGCGAAACGCACATTGTTGTAAAGAACAGTTGTTCGACTGCAAGGGCACAAGCAGCGGATCCAAACTGTCAACATCGGTCTGTTTTAACTTCCACAGCACCAGTCCCATCACATCCTTCAACTCGTGGTTGATGGACACATTGTGCCTCCACTGCCACGCAAGACTTTTACTTGGGTAAACGCATGAGATTTGATGCATCCGGAAATGCATGTCAAAGAAACATCTACTGTAAATACCAAATAAAATCTCAACGGACAAAAACAAAAGCAAATCAGCCGCGCATACAGTTGCAGGGCGGCGTATCAGCCGCGAGCCGTGTTTTTGCGACAAACATAAGACACAAGAGGTTACCAGGTGGGTGGCCCCACCCACCAAACCTCACTGTTCGTCCCATCTTTGGGACTGACCCCTCGGTGACCTGAGCAATTTTCCCTGTTCGAGCCCACAAGAGCCTTTCGTTGGCAGAATTTACATGAATGTACCCCCAAAAGAACCGTGAGAGCTTTTCGAAGCCACATCCTTGCGAATTGAACCAGGAGTTCGTTGTTGCTGGTCGCAGATCACTGAGCACGACTGAACGAGTGTGATACCCAAACGCGCCACCAGGCCACCAGTCGAACAGCCCAGGCATGGATGAATCCGGCTTCGGATGCCTCACGAAGCTTGGAGCTTTTGCGATGAGTCGACCCATCCTTTGGGTTTGGGCGAAGCTGTCCGGTTCGGTTTTCGGTGGCATACGTCCTCCGGTTTCGGTTTGGGCGGTTCAGAAAGACCCTTCTGTTTTCGAGCTTGACAATGGTGGCATATGGATTCATATGGTTGCACATGGTCTATGCCTATATACCCATCTATACCCCATGATGTTGACCGAAAGTCTGAAGCTACAGGTTCTCGAGTTCTCGGGTTGATATTGAATACCTCGCTACTTTGTGAGGTCGTGCGGACAGCAAATCACAGCAGCATGGGAACATGTCCATATTGTGCCAGCAAGTGGCTGAACGACAAACACACGACAAGTGATAAGGTTGCTGAACATGTTTACTAATGTTACTAGACACTACTGTACTAGCCGGGTATGCTACGAAAGAAGGAAAAATCAAATGTCGTTTGTCTTTGTCTCTGTTGGATCCTCACAGCCACGGTCCTTTTGGGTCCTTTCTCACTACAAGATGTTCAGCCAGAAAGGCGAGGATTTTGGTACAGGTGGAGAACTCCCCTGCTGTTCCATACATGTGAAAGCTGATGTGTTTTTTCTTCATGTTCCCGGTATTTGCCTGGTTTCCGATCGTTCTGATTGAGCGAGAGGCCACCCAATGGGCCACGAGCAAACACAGACCGGAGGTGATCGTATGTTCATGCTCGTCATTTGGGATGATTGAACCATATAACCGACTGGCTGATTGCGCGTCGTTCGTGAGTGTTTCAACCATACAGCCACAGACTCTCATGACTGACCGAATCCTCCAAGGATCACGGAGTTTGAGAAAGCCTTTGATGATGAGATGCCCGCGCTCGAAAGAGATCGTTGTTTTTCCCCTGCTGTGAGCGAGTGGTTTGTGGTTCAGCTTTGCCCAGTGTTTTGCTTCCAAACCGACATGGTTTTGATCATAGACCAAGCTCATTCAGCCGCTGCTAGCTAGGGAATATTTAGCATTTTCAATAGGTCCTTTAACTTGTTCATTTCTTTTCACCGGTTCTTCCACCTGATCTTTTTCTTTTGTCAGTTCTTTGACCAAGCAGCAGAGCAGTTGCCTACCATGTCGGATTGTGTTTTTTCATACATAACTGGCACTCCTGGCAGTGCAGTGTTCTTGCAAATTTGTGTTCTTTTGAGTCAACATTTGTCAAGAAATCTGCACTGCCAAAAACGGCTGTACAACAATTGCATCAAATTGCATCCAGCAGGAAAGCCTGACCAATTGACAAAATATGTCAAAAAAGCAAACAAACACATGAAACAAACACTAGAACATATTTCAGAGAGTCTTGACTGAACCCTCCCACAGAGGACAAACTTCTGAAAACATGTGTTTTTTTGTATTTGTCCACAGGGTCCAAAATTGTCCACAAAGCGCTCTCCTGGTAGTGCAGCTTTCTTGCACTGCTAGGAGGGCACCCTGTTAAGATTTGTCAAGGCAACTACCCTGCGAGGAAGGCACTCTGTTAACCTTTGTCAAGAAAACTACACTGCCGGGAGTGCACTCTGCAGAATCTTCTGCACTTTGTGGACAATTCTTGAAGAATAAAAGCTAAAACACACCAAAAAACATGTTCTCAGAAGTTTGTCCGCATAAAATTAATGAAAACACACATCTCTGGGAAATCTACTTTCCCAGAGATCCTGAGGAAAGCACATGATTTTATAGCATTTTGTCTTCAGCTCACACCCCCAGCAACACCTGCTCTGTGGATTTAGACTAGACTTGAACAAGAACCACATTTGAATTGAGCAAGAGTTATATAAATTGGAATGATTTTTTTCGATTTTTAAAAAAATAAATTAGAGTTGAATGGAATTATGTAATTTGGATTGAATTAACTATATATATAGAGATCTAAATTAGTATTGAATTTGAAAGAAACGTGAATTAGCATGCATGTAGAGTTGACTAAAATTACTATTATAGAATTAAACTACAAATGAATTAGGTATACATAAATTACTATAGAGAGTCCATTTGTCATAGCAAATGGGCCAAACAGCGCACTGCCACAACTGCCCACTCTCCATCACTATATATTTAAATATTATACGTATTACAATTATTACATCATACTTGAACAACCACTTACCTAGTCATGGGAAATACCTGAGTCTCAAAGTGGACACATGAATTGAGTTGGCACCTCGCTGCTCTTACAGCAGCAACACAATCAGTCTTTTGAAGATGTGGAGTGGCCAGCAGTATTGTGATTTATGGATTCTTTTTGTATTTCCCAGGTCTGGCGGTTCAGGGATCAGGATCAGGATGCTGGAATCTGGATATGGGCTCTTTGTAAGATGTTTTTTGAAGTCAGCAACCAGCAGTACAGAGTCAGGTGAAGGAGACAATCTAGGATCTCCAGGCCCTACTTTTCGTCCTACACCCTAGAGGATGACAGATGGAGTTTGGCTTCCATGCTTGATTCAAAATGGAAAAAGAAGAAGAAGTAGTAGTAGTAGTAGTAGTAGTAGTAAAAAAGTTAGTACTAGTGTGTTAGTAGTCGTTCTTCTTCAAGTGGAACTTCACAGACCAATTTTCCTCACTCAATCTGACTCATCCAGTGGCCGGGCCTTCGGACCCGCTACACCTTTCGAAGCCGTTGCCAAGTAGGTGAACCGACCAGCGACCAGCTGCCTGCAAGACAGTTTTTGTTTTTTTATAGCAAGGAAGTATGAAATCTATGACTTCCCTTGCTATTCTCCACCAGCGACCAGGAAATGGGGTACAGATTCGGAAGTCAGAGGCATCAAGCCTCCATCTTGAAGGTCAATGTACAATTTCTAATGCTTTGCAGTGCAAAAAGACACTCGGAAAGCCCCAGATGAGCTTCACAGCGATCTCCAATGTGGCATTTGCATGTTGTTTGTTCATTCAGCAGCTAATTCGTTGCTAAAATGCGTCTCAGGAACATGAAGATTTTCCTGGAGTCCATCGACATCAACGCGACAGTTGCTTGGAACACATGGATTGACTTACTAAACCTGGCAGGTGATGAAACAGCCGATCCCACGGTTGGTGAGAGAACTATTTTGACCATTCAGCGCGGCTGGGGCTCATGTGAGTTCTTTTCTTTTCTGTTTGAAAGGCATTGGAATCTCACATGGATTGAACGTCGGGGCATTGGAAAGAGAGAAAACATAAAACAACCCAGCAAAAATCATTTCGGAATTGTGATTGTTCTCAACAAACAGCACCCTGCAAGGCAAAGACAGTGGCAGATACCTCTTTGCTTTCGGTCAATACAAGGGAAGCGGAACGAAACACACCCTATGACCATAGTGATGCATTTTCTACAGTGACACTACCATTGCATCATTTGCATGTCAATGCTTTGTGGGCTGGACATGCCCCAATGACATTCATGACCATAAACAAACTGCGGCCATTGTTGCCTGATATTTCTTCACCCAGACGCTCCAAACAGCCCTTGGTCCCTCAAAATTCAGGGATTGGTTTGACCCCGGACCCCTCCAGAGGATTCGGGGCCGAACGGGTCGCGTTGTCTTCGGTTCTAGGTCTCGGGTCCCAGTATCCCTCACCGGACATCCGCCGACGTGCCCGTGGATGCTCATGGAACCGAAGAACTCGGCGGTGGGTTCGCGTGAGTCCGGTCTGAACGTAGTTGTCACTTGTCCTGTTTTTGAGTATATAGAAGGTCAGGTGCTGTGATTGTGTCAGTTTGTTTGTACTGTGCGTTTGTTTAATTAAGACTGTGGAATCATTTGTATATATATTTACTAATTACTATTAATTAATGTGTTTACCTTGCAGCATGCCCTGCTCCAGGAGTCAACGGAAATGAACATCTCTTTCACCACGCCGGGAACAAAAACCAATAATGAAGCCCCCAAATATTTGGAGCCAACGAAACCGCTCAACTTAAACACCAAGTCGATGTTCATATTTTATTTGTACACGACATATGTTCATTCATTGTATGGACGTTCATAGACCGCAGAGAACTGAACGAGGTAGGCCCTAGCGGTGACGAATGACGAAACCGGGACAGCGAAGGGAAGGGAAGGGAAGGGGTCAGTCAACAGACCTCTTTGACCCTGTGCATCTTGGTCGACCGTGTGACGCTTGTATCGCCTGTGAAGCTCACGAAGATCGCGCAGTGAGGATGCATGGACCCTCTTTGACAGCCTGAACTTGGATGGAAATGAGGTGCTGACCATGGAAGAGTTCCTAAGATTGGCCTTTAGACAGGGTGAAACGCTGGAACGCAACTGCATTAATCATTAACCGGCTGTGGCTGAACTTGGATGGCTTGGTTCCTGAGATCCGACGGAAGGCAGTTGAGCGCGTGCACGCGAGACATTCAGGCAGGATGAAGGCACAAATCCGAAGATGTCTAGACGGGGGTCCATATAACCCACCTTTGGGGGATTGTGCCATCTATTCTGAAACCTATAGTACACATGAATCAGCCGAGGGCCTTGTGGCCCCAGTGGCCCCAGTGGTTTAGACAGATGAATCTCCTTTGTTATTCTGTCTATAACACGACCAAAAAAAACACCCCTTTTAGGCTCGAGGGTTTCTGCTACCCGTGCAGCTGGGTGACACCCTTGCAGAATTATGTTGGGTGCTCCTTGGGTGAAAACTGGTGGCTGGAAACTTGGAAAATTGCCAACAACATCTCGGTTTCTATGTTCCTCCAAATATGAACGGTCCGTCTTGTTCCATTGGCCACAGAGGCTTTTGATGACTAAATCAAGCGTTCTGTTGTGATTTTTCCACGATTTGATCAAAGAAATTGAACTGATGCGCATATCAAAGATACACACACATACAATTGGGATAATGCGTACGGAACTGATCACCCCAAGCCTTGAAGAAGCCTGAGTCAAAAACTTGCCTGGGTAAACAGGTAGTATGTAAGGCGGTCTAACGATCTTCAGGTCAAGGTTTCTGAAAGTCTCAAACTCCAAAGTACACGGTTCGGCGGGATCGAAAGCGAAGACACTTGTCTGCAGACCTCAAAATCACCTGAAACGGCCTGGTCAGCTAGAGGAGAAGGTGGTTACTTACTCAGCGTCACATCCAGATCAAAGTGCAGGTACAAGAGTTGCTCTCTTCCAACTGATTTCCGTAGCTTCGTTGGCACGGATAGGAAATCAGTCTCCGTGCCCCCTGCAAATAACCAAAAGATTCGCTGTGACTCCAAGGGTTTCACACATACACACAGGACACCCAGCCATGGGAGGAAAACAAGAATCGATGCTCGAAGGGATCGATGATGTTCGATGCTCGAATGGATCGCTCGCCAGCTGTGACCAGCCTCACTGAGGTTCACAGAGGGCTGTCTACTGTTGAAGGGCCCGGCACGCTCCGTGGATGTGTCACCCGGTGGATGGCCGGAGTGGATGGGACCAAGATGGACAAAGCCTATCCAAGAAGACAAAACGATCCAAGACTAGATATGTATCCCAAACTACCCAACTGTACCCAGGTTCGGATTCGCATTGCCCAAATCTCAAAACCATGGGCTCATTTTCCCTTGAGTTTCCAGTTATATAATTATGATCAATTCGTTTCGGCGTGCTTTGCTAACATATGCCCCCCTGGATCCGAGGGTTCCATTGAATAATGTGTAGCTGAGTTTTGTAGTGTATCCGTTTGTGTTCATGTTGTTCTTAAATATCAATATTGTCATATATATATATATATCCAGTTTCTAGCAGTGCAAGGCAGTCGTTTCCAGTCGTGGGCCGGTATACAGTCATCGACCTAAGTGTTCTAAGGTGTAATATGGGTTCGTGGAATGTCTTCTTGGAATGTTATTGGGGAATAAATGGGGGGAGTGGGGGTCAAGGTCATCACACAGTTTGGTGGAATATGTTTTTTGAAAAAAAATCATGAACATACATACATCACCATACATCCCGATATTGCAGCCAAGAACAATCAACAACCAAACATGTTTTAAAGATAGGTGGTCTCACAGAGCCTCCTAAAACTATGTAAGTTTTAAGCAAGGACAGACACGTTGGTTATGCGGGCGGCAAAGCATTCAACTATTTTTACAGATCTGGTGAAATAGCAAAGTTCATGGAGAGGCCATCAATTGAGGGAATTGGTGGGGGTGCCTGAAATCATTCCAGTATGTCGTAATCCTTGGATCGTTGAGGGTTCCAAAACATTGAGTTTAACCATGATCGTGTTCATGTTCCTGTGGCGTGGCAGCGTTCGTGGCAGCCGCAGGGTTCTAATAGCCCTTGAAACAACTGACGTCAACGATGACAGGATTCAAGTTCCTGTGTTATGGTGGCCTTTGATTTCCTCAAGTAAGTTTGCCTCCTGTATCCCCAAGTTCATCATTATTTGTCACTTGCTCCGTGATTCCTGGTTGTTGATGCCTTTGGAAGACTGTTTTCGTCCATGACAACACTGTTCATTTTCCTGTTGGTTAACAGTAAGTCTCGCTTAGTTGTTTTCCACAATCTTTTTTGTTCAAGGCGGTTTAATTGACTTGTTTTTGCCCATTGAACTCTGACAGTGAACTTGACATATACGTATTTATTTGTCTAGATACACCTTGGAATAACTCTTCTGTTGTATGCTGCATGCTGACATGGACATACCTTTAAGGCCCCGCACATATGATTGGACATCGATCAAGTGCCGAGGTTCTTCCAATGACCCGGTCGACATTCAGAGTTTAAAGCCTGCATACTGAAAACAGGCAGCCACCCTTGGAGGACGTCAAATGATTCAAATGACCCATCTAAAGCATCTAAAACCACAAAGAATGGGACCTGACGGTGGGTCCTACCACAATCCAAAAAGTGATAAAAAGTGTCCTTCGGACCACGCGTTGAATAAATTGTTTAATGGTATTGAGATGAGTTGAACCCGGCTCACCTTGCCGGCTATTTATTGCGTAGCTGGTTGAAGGAAATCATTGCAGTCCCTGTAGGAAACTAAGGTCTCATAAGCTCTTCGGAAGACACCCATATCCCAATATTTCTAGGTTTTCAGCTACGTGTCGTATTCAAAACTTTTGAAAACCCCAGGAGAGGATCGGAGACGCTTTGTTGTCCAACATGTTTGACGCGTTGCATGGTTTAAGAGCGTTTGTTTTTGCGGGCAGTTCATACACTTGCATCGGTAATGCAATGTGGGCTTAATGTCCACCTCCTAATAACCCCGCCCTCCCCCTTGATCAAGTTTTGACCCTAAAAAAAGTTAAATCCATAAATAAGTAAACAAAGCTATCTTGATTTGAAGTTGAAATGAAAGGAACATGAACGGACAACAAAGGAAAATTAAAGGACAGGAAAGGACATGAAAGACACATGAAAGGAAAGAAATGGAATTGAAAGGACAATGAAAGGAAAGGTTGGAAGCAGCTGAAAATCAGGGTCGAGAAAAACAAGTAGCATAATTGTGGGTCCAATGTTATTGGTTTTTGAAAAACATTGCTTTATTCACGGTCCTTTTATACATATATCAGGGTCGAGAAAAACAATTAGCATAATTGTGGGTCCAATGTTATTGGTGTTTGAAGAACATTGCTTTATTCACGGTCCTTTTATACTTATATATTATATAGGAAGTCAACATTGCAATGCCCATAATTGTGGGCTTGCATGTGGACACTTCCGGTTGCGTTCAATTCAAAAGGTGCTTTGATGTAGTTGTTGATGACATCCCCTTTTGTTCCCAGTTCCCCAACACTTGTTTGGATGAAAAACGTTGGGAGTTGTTCGTGCCTTTCATATCTCCATAAACCATAGAGATGTTCCACGATAAGCTCAATCACCGCAGAGAAAGAACAACAACAAGAAGAGCATGCTTGTAGATGAGGAGAAAGGGTGGAACCTTGACAACTTACTTGCGCGTTCATGAACCTTACTAACTAATTATTAGTTTATCTTGGAGCTCAATTGAGTTAATGTACTACTTGGAGTTGAGGTTTAGATGACTTCAACATATCCAATTGCATCAGCACATCCTTGATGTTTCCTATGTGTGGTTCCTTTGTTCGAGGGCCCGATGAGACTTGCTCCCCCAAAGCCTTTGGGATGCTTGACCAACTGAAAGGGGTTTGGTTATTTGCTTATGGATGAGGTGTTAAACCTTTGAATGACCAGCAAGGATCCCAATACTTTGTTGAACCCAGAGAGATGTGAGTTGACGTTTCACTTCAGGTATGCTTTGAAGCAACAGAGCAGGAAGTTGCGGAAGCAGATGGAGGAGTCAGGGTTTGCATGGCTTTACGCTTCCCGTACTGGAGGAGGTACACAGTACTGTAATTTTATCACCATCCAAAGCCACCAAATAAGGAATGAACATGAATTAACAATCATAAACAGAGCTATGAAACTGACATAGAGCAGGCGACAAACAAAACATTTGTTCCAATCCCACCTTGCGCATGGAAGACAAAGCTGCAGTCACGCAAGCGATGCGATTTCGTATATGTGAAAGACTGTTGTGATTCGAAAGGTTGAAGGGATGTGCATCCATGGGACCGATGTTTCGTCGAATTTCGTTGATGTGTTTCTGCGACCCGTAACACGACCCGTAACACGCAACTCTCTAAGTGAGGGCTTCGACTTGTGGCTTTGGGGCACCAAGTCTGAGACAGACATGACCAAGTCTCGGCAAGAGACAGACAGGGCCGCCCAACTGTGTTGGATCGCGATGACTTGACTCTGTGAATTGGAGCTGTGACTTCCTACGTTTCTTTTCATCTGTTTTCCCGAAGCAGGTTTGGAAAATTGACCTCAAACCAACAAAACACATCAGTCGACACGTGAGACGGAAAAGCCTGAAAAGACGATAAAGACGCCCTGCTGTTTCACGCCCAACAGACCCGAAGGATCTTCTGGCCCAGCAGCAGATTCTTCGTGGATTTCTCCAAGTCGACACGGTCGACGTCGACGCCTTCAACTCCGAGTCCGAGTCCACGCAACGTTGGCGTTTCTGAGCGGCCCCTTTTCGAGCGGGTGGCCGCCAGACGAAGGGAATGGAAGACGGTTTCATCGAAGATCAGAGGGTGGAATATGGCGTAAACTGTAAACCGTATACTGTACCTGGACTAGAAGTTTTCGAGAAAGCTTGCTCAGGAGAAAGCGTTCGAGAAGTTTTCGAAGTCAACCGATTCAGGAGCACGGCCACACGGCTGCGAAGGAGGTTGCTATTTGTGGTCAGCTGAAGGAACAGTTCTGACGATGTACAGAATGAGGGAAGAAGGAAGACCCAATACTGGTTTGGGTGGTTCCTTTTTCGAGACCCACACTGAAAGGACAAGGACCCTCAGAGACCCATATATTATGGTCCTAGGAGTCCTAGACATCCCCTGGAGGCTTTCAGTATGATGTGTTCGGCCACTTGTGCAGCCTCCATGTCCGACCAATGTTTGGTTCGCTGGCCGACTGTGAGACTGACATGCATGGGTGTGCATCACTCGCAGTGTACCTTGCGGCCGCAGCCCGCTGGGCGTTGGGATGAGAAATCCTTATGGGAAGGCATCCACTAAGGCGTGGTCAAGGAATCACATCAAGGAGACAGCTGCATTTTTATGTCTAAGTCTAGTTCTGTTCTCTAGAGAACATATGAGTATGCATTATCAAACAAGTCAGTGCCAACCAAAACAAATATGATTTCAGAGATCCACACTGCCAAGTCAATTTGCCGTGGTTTCGCGCCGATTCGTTCAAACAACTGCATGTCAACCTTGTTTTTTCTATACCTTTCCATCAATTTTGGTTTGGCTAGGCTGGGCGCAGGCTCCTGGGGTTCTAGGTTTGGGTCATCATATTGATTGCTTGCAACCTTTTGCACACATGAGGATGAGTTGCCAATGTTTTAGAGACGACAGAGTGATACAAATTTACATGTCTCGTGGCTTCGGGTTTTGAACTGCAATCTTTGGTATGTTGTCCCTCAGCGCAGACGGGCTTCATACTATGGACATAGGGACAAAGCTCCGGTCGTAAACCTTCATTACACAGCTGTTCATTCTCTTTGGATCATCAGATAGATTGACATACAGAGTCTACAGAGTCATTCAACTTGTATCCCGACTTGGAACATCTCTCCACGTTGGAGTTGCACGTGGCGAGCGTGATCGAATTGCAGGCTGTACTGTAGCTGCTAGAGGTACGAGGTGTCACGGGGAAGCTGCGATTTTGTGGTGGTCAAAATGAAGATCCAACATGTTCAACTTGTCAACAGGGCAACATGTCCAGACTTGTTTGTTTCCATCGTGACTCTCACCATGCCGCATGGAAGCACAAATGGACGATCCCTAGAAAAGGGCAAGTTTTTCCAGGCCCTTTGAGATTTTCAATCACGCGCGTCCAGGTTGCCTTCCCTCCTTGGATTCATTCGTAGGACCACTGCTGTCAGGGAGACATCTAAAAATACACCTGAGATACCAGCTGGGCAACGTGAAGTGCATTTGCTGAGAGGCATGCGCTTGTTGAACGTGTAAGTTTTGAGTGGTTGCCACCTTTTCCTCAGCTCCTGCCCTGAGCTAGACACATGTATGTTTTACAGCCAGCCAACCAACCAACCAAACATCCAAGCTTTGGAATACATTTTACTCTTCCATGACACATTTTTGAGCACTGCACTGCAGCACTGTCAAGTTGTGTGGGCTTTTCTTGTGGATGTTGCATGGACGTTGATTATGGTAGTTCAAGCGTTCCCACTTTGTGCGGGGTAAGAATGAGCTTTGGGAGCTCTCAGGCGTTGAGGGTGACTTCCTACATTTTTACGTTGAGGAAGCGGATCGCTTCGTCCCATCTCCGCCCAAGAATGCCAAAGGCATGAGTGGGAATCCTCGAAGAAAAGTTCCAAAAAACGGCCAAGTCATGTCATGTAACCTTTTTGGCACCAGAAGTGCTGCCGTCGGTGGGCTTTTCTTTCTTTTGGAGTGAGAAAAGGCTTAAGATTTCAAAATCGGAGCAGCATTTGATCCCTTGCTGTTGACCTTGCTTGGTTTGGGGATGACCCCTGTGAGACATCAAAAGAGTGTTTCAAGAAGGTGTTAATTTGGAAGAGGGTCGCAACCGTGGGTCGTTGCGTGGGACTGGAACCGATATGCTTGACCAACGACCGGGTGCCCGGGTGTGGTTCGGGTCGACCAACTGAGGGACGTTTTGTTCGAACACAGCACTACCCAGACGTGGCTGTCCCGCAGACGTCCAAAGACACGGCTCAACTCGTGAACACTCACTTCTCTCCAACAACTGGACGCATGTGGGCTGCAGGTGCCTTCAGGGGACCCCCATCCATGTTAGTGCCAAGGAGTGTAGATGGGCATGGCTCATCTTAAGTGCACGGCACGGCATCACCGTGCCGCTGGTTGGGAGGTCCTCAAGCTATTTCTCACAGCAGGTAACTGCCCAATCATTCGACACCCACATGGAGACCTGAAAAGGTCGGCATGCTGCTTAGTTATACCTGGATCTTCAAAAGGCACATGTGTTTTTTTTTCCGGATGTATTTTTCACTGAAAAGATGCCGTATTTGAATTTACTGCCGTTTTAGGGGTTGCAACATGTCAAACATGTGCTCAAAATCCATGGACGGGGAAAGACGCCGTTTGGATGCCTAAAGACGCCGTTTTGAAGCCTTAAAAGCCGTTTATTTTTGGTTTCTGCCGGTTTCCGCTGGTCACGACAAAAAACGCCCTGTTTGCAAAAAGACACCGTACGTAATACTGTAACAGCATTCTTTTCTTGAGAAGGCAATTATTTGATATTACTTGCGCCGTTGCGAAGATTCAGGTATGCATGTAATATATTACTCTATTACTATGTCTTTTGTAGGCCATATCAAAATAGTTCAACACATATCCAATGTTTTTTTGTTCTTGTAGGATGATGTATACATCTATGTAATTTTTTGGGTGCATTGACGTGGGCGCCCATCTTCTTCAGCCAGATTGACGTGGCCTTAAGAAATGTGGCCTGCCGTTTTCCTGGTTCAAGCTTAGAGGTCGAGACAGAACTCTTCCCCACCTCCTGGCCTTCAAAAACGCCGGGAGGCCTCCGTGTAGGATGGATAGTGATTTGAGAGCTTTGCTGCAGAAGCAGCATCTTGACGAACATTGTTTTTTCTGGTCAACATGGTTTGGCGGAACAAGCGACTGTTTCCCTCTACAGACTAGTCTACAGACTATATATATATATATACAATTATATACATGGATCTATATGGCAGGTTTGTTCCACTTCCTGTTTAATGGCCTCCGCGAAGAAGCTGGGATCCACTCTCCTTTCACCTAGGATGGACACTTGCCAGGTGGCTAGGACATAATTCTTCTTGGAGTTATCCAAGAAGCAAACACATTCATTTTGCGTTGTCGAAATCTCCGTCGTGGTCCCGTCATATCAGGACCACACTACACACATGGGCGTGAACCAAATTGAACCAAGCATCGTGATATAAACCTGGACTTTTGCCTAAGCCTGGGAGGGTGATCCCGGTGATCTTTTTCGCTGAACAGTGTGATGAATGTGTTCTTCTTGGTTCAGTTGCATAGCATGGCCTTTTACCATGGGGGACCACCAACTGATTGACATTGCAAAAAGCTAAACCCCCCCGTCTCAAGCGGCTGAGGATTGCTGAGAAAATTGATACCAGCTCATGCAGAGAACTCTGTACCAAAGCCCCGCCTGTTTGAGGACCCAGGACATGTTCGAGGGACTGACCAGTTGCTGTGTACAACCCACCCGAGTCCCCCCCAATCACTTCCCTTTCACCCGGTGATTCCGCTCGCCTCGCGGACCTTCCGCTTCGGCGCCACGCATCTCCCGTCCGACCCCCGGCCGTTCGGCGTTTGGTGCGACGGACGGACTGAGTGAGAGATGTTTTTGGGATCTGGTCATTTTGTTGGGGTCGTTGGAAGATCCTGGATTGTTTTTATGTCTTGTTTTTGTCCGGTTTTCAACCAATCCCAGGCATGAAGAGCTGCTCCGAACACTGGATGCCTGGTTTTTGACCTCGCCGAAGGTTTCGCCCGTGACCTCGCCACACATCAACTCGGTGCCTCTTCTGTGGTGGTTGGACGAAGTGGTCTTTCAGTGGTTGCGAAAGTGAAGGATTGTGAAGGCAAACTGGATGCATCGACATGGCGCCATGTTTTGTTGTTTATCAGAGAGTCTAGGCTTTGTCGTTGAGTAGATCTCTCTATCAACATGGGCAATGATGGCTTCCACTTTTGAGGTCACTGTGAAGGCGGCGGGGCTTCCCAATGAGAACTCCGAGGACACGCTGAACAGGTTGAAAGCCACAAGCATCGCCACGAACGAGAAGCCTTTGGGCTTCTCCAGACTCAATAGCTGCTTGGAGCTGACTGGCAGGATTGGAGCTGACTGTGACTGGACCCCGGTACTTGTAGGACCAGGTACGGTACAACCAGAGTTCTTCGTTTTTGTGGGAAACTGCTTTCTAGATTTTTCTGGTAACTTCGATCAGACAAAGTGGTAGCATGTGGTATAGAGGATTTTACAGGCAGTATCGTCAAGACTCTTACGGGCTGGGGCTGGTTAGTTCATCGATGTTCATAGTAGTTCCACTGCTCAGCAAGAAGTGGTGTGAATCCTCAAGGCATTTTCTTGTTTAGTTGACCTTATCAATGTTTATTAGGTACCTTTGTTAGATTTTGGCAACCTGTTTCAATGAGAGTCCAACCATGAGCACCACCCTGAATTCACATTGGTGTCAAACTTTGGGATGAAATGGTCCAACGTCTTGGACTGCTGGAAGCTGGCCCAACGCCAATGGTTGGACCTGCCGAACCTTCGGTTGGGAGCCACTGTCAAACCCACAGTGTCAGCATCCGTGTGGTCCGGGTGAGTTGTTTGATCAGCAACTTCATCCCCGTACCCATTTAGATGTCCTAGATGAAGTTGACCCATGTTGGAGGCCCCGCAGAGCGCAGAGCGCAGGTTATGAAGAGGCGGTCGTAAGAACCGATGATCTCATAGATCCTCGGCTCTCAACAACAAATCGATGGGCTTGTGGATCTGAATCAGAAGCCTTTTTGCAGCTTTAAGCTTTGAGGCTTTGAACTTCAAACATATGAGGACCTTCCAAGACACCAGAAAGGATTTGAGAGGAGAGATGGAGAAATCATTGCGGGGAGCCGTCCCTCCAAACATTTAAGGGCATGTAGGACCCCGCCTCGTCGTTGGTGGTGTCTTTGGCGGGCGTTTAGGCACGTATGTTGACCTTCGTAGACCGGGTCTGACCTGCAAAATGAGAGTTGTTGGTGCGAAGGTGCTAAGCACATGGTGCAGACTTGCAATCCACTTTGGCGGGGGCCTATGGTGTAGAGTGCCTGTTGTTGAACCGTTTCTGTGTGTGTTGGTAACGAGGCTTTCTCCACACAGAGGCACTGACTAGGTGCTGATTAGTAGAATGACACTGGCAGCACCACAGATTGGAAGCCCCTCTGTGATACATTGTTTTTGTGTTTCAGCTGGCGCAGGTGTTCTTCCATCAAGAGTTGGTGGTTGTGGGTGGTTGCATAGAGATGGACCCTTTGATACAAATTGTCCTAGTTAGATAAGGTCAGGTGCTTGCTAGTGCAAGGTCTCGATTCTGCACGGTCTCATCATTGTGCTCAATATCGATAATCTAATGATTCAAGAATTATAGACTGTATTTACATTATTTACTATAATATACGGTATTTTATAACATGCTATGTATTGATATACGTGTATAAAACGCAGCACCAGGAGTTCCTAAGAGTGGTTTTTAGACTCTAAGTGAGTGAATGTTCTGGGCACCCTGTTCTCCATTAAGCACCCGCGCTTGTTTGTGCGGCTTCTTCGGAAATGGCTGGGCGCAGCCTTCAAAGCCTGCATCACAGGCCAATAGGTTTTCATTTCACTCTTCAGTGAATCCATAGGGGCAAAAAATACTGTGTTCATGGATAATTAGGTATTCTACTGCATCATTGGCCAATTCAGTAATGCTGCGCTTTCTATGTACATTCAAGGAGTTCAGTGAATCTGTAAAGTCATTCTCCAGCTGCGCTTCAAGGGTTGCTTCTTGGTGCGAAGCAACACAAACATGCGGTGATTCACCTCAACCGGTTTTCTTCCAAAGTCATTGACAATTTAACCCTTATTCTATCATCAGAAACAAGCATAAGCATCAGAAACAGTGACGCCCTCACAACCAGCAACACCATCCTATCCACCATTGTAACTGTTTTGCCCTGCCCTGTTTCCCCAGTGTTCATCACACTCCTCCGTTCCATTCGGCATGGTCATTCCACCCGTTCCGCCCGTTCCATTGCACCAACCCACGAACCCCGAGGCCACGTTGAGCAACAGCCCCACGTTCCCTTCATTGACGGTCGAGTTGGGCGAGGGGCCTTGCGCCCAATGCTGGCACCAATTTCAGAGGCTGGACTTCCAGACCCAGAAGGGAGCATGTAGGTTCTTGTAAGGTGTTTGACCAGCAAATGGTTGAGGTTTGTTTGACCTTCCGAAATGCAATGACCTATATTCTCCGGCTGAGCTTTGTTCAACTTGCTTGGAGCAACATATTTTTCGTTCAAGCTGTTGGCACAGGCTGGCGTTCCAATTTGTGAGCTCCTATTGGGCCAACGTGTTCTTTGCTTTTGCACCTCAGCTGACATCTGAAAGAACAGCCGCATGTGCAGATGATACCGATTTGTTCTCTCCTCCTATGGACAGTATATTGTTCTGGAATGTTCTGGATATTCAATGTGTTTTTGTCACAGGAGGCTTCCCCTACAGCCAGACATGGTAAGGCTGGTACGGTCAGAATTTAGAGAGGTGATGTAAGCAAAGGGCTGGACGTTGAATCTGAACATACAGGATCTTTTTCAAGGACCTTCTTAGTCACCTTTTCAGGATTTGTGCATGACCTTTTCAAGAACTGAGGGACCTCATTCTGGGATATCAAAAGGGCACTGGGAAAGTCGTTGTGGGTTTTAGTTGACAAACACAACAAACGACAATGCGAGATCACAGCACACGACCATCAGGACCATCTGAAGACAAAAAACACTGTAGTTGCGTAATCAATTAGTGACCGCTCCACGGTCTATACATATCTTGAGCTTGTGGCAGTTCCTGGCAGAACTAACTTTGCCCGGGTGTTCCACGAACGAGTTTTTCTGGTTTGAGACGGTCCTAAAGACGAAGAGACTGGAACAAATATAGTATTCAATGATATTTGATGGAACAATATGTCCCTCTACCAAAGCAATCTCCTCATATGCACAGAAATCTTTATCAACGGACCAGAGTCTCATGTATTGGAGGAAACAGCACCTCGATTCCAATGTGTATGAATTTACGTATACGTACGTATTTATTGTTTATGTAATTTGTTTGAACGGCATTCCCGCTTCACCGTCTACAAACTTCATACACAGAATCCCACTGATGCTCACATCCTCTCGCGTTTGGAATGTTCCACCACTGATTTCGCCGCAGCTTTGATCCGGTCCGGTGTCCTCGCAGCGTTTCCTCTGCTCCAAATGGAGGATTTCCTGGACCGGGATGACGAGGCATCAGGCTACACGACCATCTCGGCTTTGTGAATCATGTTTTCGTCCATTTGGATGCCTGCTTGGGCCGTTTCTGTTCACCATCCGAGACCTCAGTGTCACGCGTACCGAGACCGTCTCCGTGTGCGTTCCCAACGTTTTTCCCCGTTTAAGCTGGCTGCGTCACGGATCGATGTTGGTAACCGGTGACCCTGTGGGCATCGAACCGGAGATATCCGGAGACCCGTAACGTATTTGACACGGTTTTATTTGTGCTTGACACGGCTCGTCGGCATCGGGCATCGAAAAAAAACAAAAAAAGAACAAAGGAAACTTGGGTTTGTGAATTTTTGTTGGGGCATGCTGCTTGGCATGCTTCCGTGAAACAAACAGACTTTTTTGCTGTGCAAGCAGAAAGACCCACTTTGATGTTGATTTGTTTGTTGCATTGTTGCCTGTTTCATGCACCCAGCTCGGAGTTCGTGTCAACGACAGAGCGACAGAACACAGAGACCGGTGTGCAGTTGCCTTGACCAAGGCAATCTTGAGCAACTCGGTCTTTCTTGGCGTTCAGATTGAATGGCGCGTGGAGAATCTGGGGATAGTTACTACAAATCCATTCGTCGGCGTGCACCTTGCCTATGCAGTGCCTTGGCTGTCACAGGTTTTACGGCGGCGGCACGAAAATGAGTTCTACTGGGCCGCCACTGGAACGCATTAAGTTGGTGCCGTTGCCGGTTGGTTGAAGGCCCCACAGCATGCTCGTTGGTGCAGCATGCTCAGAACTGTGGTCGGGAGAAGCATGCTCGTTGCCCGTGGGGAGGTTGGACATTTGAGCGGCATGGCTTGAAATAGGATGACCCTCCTGAAGACAGGAAGAGGATAAATAGATATAAATAGGCCAGTCTACCCAATTCTCCGATCTTCCCAATTGAATACAATCCTAGCTGTATCCAGATGGTATTCTGCCATGGTGTCCATTTCCATGATTTTCCCATGCCAGAAGCCCAAACCTTTCCGGAGAGTTGACACAAATGGAACCAGAACAGAGCAGGTTTGGCTGTGAAGTATGGGATGTTCAATGGGACCATATTTCAGAGGGGGGAGGACAGGGATATGTTTGGGTTGAGTCTCCGCACATGGATGGCTTTCAATGGCTTTCAGAGGTTGATAGCTTCAAAGCCATCCAGGGCCATCCATGTGGGGTTTCACTGATGGACGACCACCAATCCCGTCGGTGGCCAAGATGTGCCAATGACCCGGTCCTCTTTGAAAACCCCCCACAACAGATCATCTCCTTAGCCACTTTTGGCAGATTGATGGAGCGTTGCAGATCATCCTGCGACGATCCCACAACAGATGTAGAAGACGGCCGCTTAACAAAAAGAACTACAGTTCTTTCAAATGATTGTACTCCGGTGTGGATCTAGATGATCCCCCCAAATCACCCTGTCGGGATTCTCAAGGCCCGACCCTATATGTAGGGGTTTGAATACTTGAAAGGCCTGTGTTTCTACCGTTAGATTTGTGTTACTAGTAGCGATGGCCTCCAACCTAATAGTGATGGCCTCCACCTGGTAGCTATAGCGGTGGCCTCCACATTGTTATCCCCTTTGCTTGGGAGCAAGAAGTTACTACGTGGAGGCCATCGCTATTAGGTTGGAGGCCATTCCTACTTGTAGCAAGAAGCTACTAATAGTGACAGTGAAGCATTTGTGACTTCTTCTTCTCTGTGGGCTCACGGTGTAGTCTGGCGCAGTCTGTGTTCGTCTTGTGAGGTCTCGGACTCCAAGCATCGAATTATGAAACCCTTGAAGACCCTTGGCCTCCACACAGTGGGGTCAATTCCACTTCCATCTTTGTTGGATGGAGCTTTTGCTTTTTTTTTTCTGGGGTGTAGTATATACTATATACCCAACCTGTTCGTGACGAGGCGGCAAAATTCTCACTCCGACCCATGAGCCGAATTGAGGTGCTCTTCACCTGTGAAGCAGCCTTGCGTGACTCGGCCCTCGAATCGGTGGACAGGTGGGAGGAGACTAGCTGCGAATCGAGGAGATGTCCCGGGTGTGGGGTCCTTTGGAATGGAGACCCATGAGATCCCATTCAAAGTGTTCTCATGTAGTCAAGTTGATGAGTAACGGGAACCTCCCCCTTAGCTCTATTCATTTGTTTGTAGAAGTTCAGGGACCAAATCAGTCTTCGACCCGTTTCACTTCGGTCTTGTTGTGGCACAGCCGCGAATCGGCCGTCACAGCCGCGTGCGAGAAGCGCCATGCAGCCGAGGGTATTGCGCCGTGGGTCTTCGAGAATACTTCTGCGGAATCGCTTGGAACCTGGGCAAAAAGAGGGAAACAGAGAAGTAGATCTATCGTTTTATCACGTTATAGCCATATGTGAATAGAAAACAAACAAACTGAACACCTATACGTCTTAGTTTGTTGATGAGTTGATGAATACGGTAACGCTTTTTAAATATATGGTGGCCTGGCCAGAGCAATCGGCTCCGGAGGTAGTATAAAATACCTGTTCCCACCGTATATTTAAAGGGTCTGGCCGGGCCAGAGCAATCGGCCCCGGAGGTAGTATAAAATTATTGTTCCCCCCGTACATTTAAAATGTAATCCCTGTTGACATTTCTTTTACGAAAAGGGATTGAGGCCCTTACAGAGAGGCCATGTTGTAACGAGGCAGTTTTTGGCACCTACAGAACCCGATTTTTGTAGAGAAATAACTTGATGCTTTCTGCCCAGCAACTAGGTTGATCTAGCTTTTCAAACACTCTCACAGGAAGTAGAACTCATCAAGGACTCTTACTACTTTCAGGGCTGCAGGTTGTATGGGGAGGTGCCACACCACCAAATCAAAACCACCAGGGCCGCCTGGACCACTTACTTGCACCACCAAGACCACCAGGACCACCAAGAG